GCAGTTTCCATGGAGATGCCTTGGCTGCAGCAGTGGGCAGGGGCCAGGCAGGATTGTGCTTTCCAGGGATTCTCCAGCGTTAGGAGGGCTGGAGGTGGGAGGGATAACAGCAAAGTCAGCTCTGGTGTGCCAGACTCTTGAGACTCGCCTGTTTTTTATCCCTGTGTAACATTTCTAGCAACCCTGGAATTGCTGTATACATCTGTAAATAACACTTCTCCTTTCTTACTCGATTTTGTGTGGTGGTGGTTTGTCAAGGCAGGGACAAGGGGGGTAAATCATTCCCAGCCTGGGCTCTGCTGGAGCCTGTTGGGCAGGGAAGTGATGTGGGGTGGGAGTGAGTGTGAGATGGGAGCTCCAGGCTGGTGCCAGCCTGTTCCCAGCCAGGTGCTTCCAGTTGTACTTCCCCTTCTGTCACCAAGCTCCTCTTTTTTTTCCCCTTGTAGCTTGAGGCAGCTGCAGCCTCGAGGGGTGCAGTTCCACTTGACACACACTTGTTCTTGCTCTCACTTGTCTGTGCTGCTGGAGTTGTTAAAAACCCTCTGGAATGATTGGATTCACCCTTGTGTGGAGAGCTGTCCCTGAGGTGGATGCTGGTACCTGCTTGGTGGCAGTGGCTGCTCTTGCAGAGCCACAGACTCCAGCAGATTCATGGCACAGTTGGGATTATAAACTTCTTAGGGAGGCAAAGCCCTTTAAGTGCTGGTACTAAAAAACCAAACATGTTTAAGACCTGAAAACAGCATCAAGTTCTGCTCCTGCAGCTTATTTTGAAGGCTGGGTTTAAAACTTTAGAGGTACTGCCCTGGGGACGTCGTATTTTTGTTCATCATGGCGCTGAATTTATGCTGTTACCTGATTGCTACCAGGTATTTTCTTCTGAAGGCACATCTGTGCACAGTGAGGGGCTGGAGGGGCTTGGGTGGTGAGCTCCTCCCTCCCTGTGCCCATGTGCTGCCCGGGGAGCAGGGAGCCAGGCTTGTCCTCGTGCCCTTGCTCTCATCCCACCCCTCCCGTGCCAGCTGTGGCCTTGTCTGAGCAGTTCTGGCAGCAGAGCAGTTGGGAAATGCTGCTGGCTCCTCTGGGATGAGCAGGGTGATGGAGATGGAGGAGTGACACCAGGACGTGGATCTCTTCATTAGTGGTTCTGGAAGGGCAGAGCCACAGACTTGGCATGGAGCAGCAACTTTGATTAGCTTTAACCCCCCAAAAATGAATATTAAAATCTTAATTTAATTTAAAGCACTGTCATTCACAGTCATGGCAAACAGCGAGCGGAGTAATTATTATGCAAATGAGACAGATAGAAAAATGATTAATAATTGCGCAAATTAAAAATTATTGTAAACATCCTGTGCCTGGTGATAAGTCAGGGAGGAGCGTGGGGGGAGGCTCGGCCGCCCCCTGCATCCCGAGTTCCTCGTTAGTGGCACCAGCTAACGAGCAGCATGCGGCGCTCGGGGCAGGACAGCAGTGCCCAGCTCAGGCTCCAGGTCCTGCTCCAGCCTTTGTGCTCTGCAACGCTGGGAAAAGCTATTTTGGGCTGGTTTATCATGGAATTTAGGGGTTGGAATGGAGTTTAGAGATCATCCAGCCCCAACCCCTGCCCTGGGCAGGGACACCTCCCACCAGAGCAGGTTGCTCAAGGCTCATCCAACCTGGAATGAACACTGCCAGGGTTGGGGCAGCCACAGCCTCCCTGGGCAACCTGTGCCAGTGTCTCACCATCCTCACAGTAAAAACCTCACATCCAACCTAGACTTTCCCTCCTTCAGTTTGAACCCAGTTTTCCTCCTCTCGGAGTCTGTGCTGCTGTCACTGCCTGCACATCCCTCGGTGCCAGCGTCCCACAGCCTCCCCCTGCCCAGCCCTGCCCTCGGGGCTTCCCCCACCAATTAATGAGCTGATTCCTCTGCTGTTTTGCTGCTAATTGCACAGCAGTACTTTCCCCCCTCCCTGTTTTCATCTATACTTTTGCCAGGGAGTAGGATAACACTACTAACAGGCTGAAGTGGCTCATGGGTTTATGTGGGCACTGCTCGTGTCAAGGACGAGCAATTAGGCTCGGCCTCACGCATCCTAATTAGATTTTTGTTGATGAGCTCATGGTAATGTGTTTAGTTTAGATTAAGAGCTTAATTCCTGGGGTGTGACACTGCCTGCCCCCAGGAGCCTGGGAGGGATGGGGCTGGGGGTGCAGCCCTGGCTGTCCTGGCACACCTTGTCCCCGTGAAGGTGGATGTGTCTGCCCCCACCACCTGCTTGGTGGTTGTTTTTACCAGCCCCAGCAAAGTGGGTTCTGGAAGTGCCTCGTTATTGCTCCATGTCCTGCTGAGTTCTATTATTTTGTAATTAAACAGAGCCTGAGATCTGTGGTTAGCTCCTGCCTGGCAGCAGCTCTGGTTGGAGGGTGCTTGGCAGAGCTGGTGGCTCCCCAAGGCAGCCTGGGCTTTCGGTGGGATGGTGCCACAGACACCCCCATTCCTTTTGGGGAGAAGCATTTTCCCTGCTGCCTCCATCCCACAGCAGGGCTGGGAAGGAGAATCCCTGAGACTGAGAGGTTAGTGATTGTATATGCATATGTGCACTTTCCCTAATTATTCCATAATTAGGGACACGTAGAGATAAAAATTACTAATAATATTTATTCTAGACTCCATTTTTTTTTCAGTAACCTCTCTCTCTCTCCCTCCTTCGCCGAGTCTTGGTGGAAATAACTTTGCAGATCCCAGTTAATGAATATTTGTAAATGCAAGAACATTCGGCGCCGGAATATCCAGAGGGCATCCTCCCTCTGCCTCCCAGATTTTTTTCACCAGGTATTTAATATTTATGGCTCCACAGCCTCGTGAATGAAGAGCCACCCGTGAGCCCCCAGGAGCTCGGGGGCCACGATATTTGTGGCGCTTCCTCCTTCCCTTTTCAATTACAAAGACACCTCACATAATTAAGTGCTAATAACCTTGTTAATCTAAAATTGATACTCTTTCTCCTGGCTATCTCTTAATAGAATTAAAAACAGATTAGTAATCGAGGGTAGGAGACGTTGGGCACAGTTCATGGAGAGGGTCCGTGCCCTGACCCCTCGCGCCGCTCGCGGGAGCCGGAGCCAAGCTGGGCTGGGCAGCAGCAGGAAAGGGAGATGTGTTTTCCCCTGTGCTCTTTCCACAGCTTAAATTTTTAAGACAAACAGCCATGTAACACCATCTCCTAATGAAACTGTTTTATGTTAATTAATTATGCATCAAGGCTCATTTTCATGCGCAGCCCTGCTTCGCTTCCCCTCCGCTGAGCCTTTGATCTGTCAGAGGCTAAACGGGAGATAAATAATCAAATTGAGAAGCAGCCTGGATGGAAATAAACATGTTTCAGATGCATTATCTGCCGGGTAGAGCAAGGCCCTGGGTAATGGGGCTCGTGGCTTGGCCACGCTCGGCTGCACACGCAGGGCATGGGGAGTTGTCCATGCCTCAGTTTCCCTGGGGCTCAGGGCCAGCTGTCCCTGCCTCCCCCAGTGTCCACTCCTCCTCTGCAGGAGCCTGTGGAGGACTCTCTCTGCATAAAACTGATGAATTCAAACTCTGCAGCATTTTCTTCCAGCCCGTGGACGATCCCATCAGCTCCAGGCCACAACTGCTCCGTGCACAGGGTAGTTGGGATCTTGGCAGTGGACACGGTTTCGGCGTAATTGAACACAATCTCTACCAATTTGTTACACCTAAGTGGAGGCAGATGTGCATCCATATTCATTTTGGAGGAACTTCAGGAATTACGACTTCATCAGCCAAGGCTGCTCAAGGCTCCTGTGCGAGTGGAGAAGGTGAGGATGGCAGTGCCCAGGGCCTGGGCCCCTCGGGTGTGGGCACAGGGATTGCTTGGCTGCTCCGGGGGAGGGCAGGACCCTCTGCCTGTTGGCATGTCCAGCCCCAGGGCCAGTTGGTGCCCTGCTGTAAATCTGGTGTTGCTCCAACAGCGAACACCCTACGGCAGGAATTCCAGGGTATGGTTGTGGAGTTA